GGCAGTGGTCCCCAAAGACTATTAATACCATATTTTACGGTACCTTTTCTATATTTAGATATGTTTACATACACAAATAGTCACCATTGTGTTACAATTGCCTACAGTATTCAGTACAGTACCTGCTGTACAGGTACCATACAGCGTCGGTGTGTAGTGGGCTATCCCTTCTAGATTTGTGTAAGTGTACTCTGTGACGTTCACACAACAATGAAATTGCCCAACCAGTTTCTCAGGACGTGTTCCCATCCTTGAGCAATGTATGACTGTATATATAAAAAAGAAATTGTGCATCTAACCCTTCCAAGGGAAAGGCTAGGATATACAATGTGACCCAGGGGTCAAGAGGAAGGGAAAAACAAACAAACAAACAAAAAACAAACAAACTTTTGTCGGGTGGTGGGAAGGTGGGAGGGGGAAGGAGGAGAAAAATTTACACTTGCAGAGTGGGTGCGATGCGCACCATCTGGGGGTGGGACACGCTTGATGTTTTGGTGGGGCAGGGGGGGGTGGGAGGAATGGCAGGGGCGATGTATGTGACCCTAACAATATTTGTACCCCCATAATATGATAAAATAAAATTAAAAAAAGGATTTAAGTTGACTATGTATGATACTATAATAAAATAAATTGAACTACTAAAAAAAAAAAAAGAAATTGTGCAGTTAAAGCCTCTTATATTACCAATGAATAATTGAGACCCAGGAGAATCACATGAATTAATTGCTTGTGGTGACATAGCTTATATGTGGCAAAGCCAAAACTAAAGGTCTTGTCTTTTGACTCATGGTCTCTGTCCATAAGACAGATGTGTGCAAAGATTTCTTAGAACAGATGCAAAAAGCCCCAATAAGGAAACTTTGATAAATTTGACTATAGTAAGATCTCTTCTGGTCCATGAGAAGTCTACTACCTGCTTATGGTCTGTGCTTTTCCTGTCCTTTTTGCTGCTGTGCAAAATTACCATGTAACATGCGTATAGGGACGCAGATTTGAAATACATATAAGAAGATAATCAGGTAAGTTAGAAAATGAGTTTTGAAAATGTGTAGCCCCACTCCTTATCTAAAATTAATCTAACTGAAATTGTATTTTAGATTAACTTTGCTGCTTTAAAAATTCTAAGTGCCTGTCTGAGAGCAGTGAGATTTGTTCCTCTAATGTGCTCCTCAGGGCAGGTAGTCCTTATCATTGTTTTCCAAACCACTAGTCCATTAATATTTATGGGGTGCCTGTGGAGGATCTGGCCCTCCTGTGTCTCTGCTCTCTGTACAGTAGAGCCAGCTGGTCAGAGAGGTGGCTGCTTTCTCTGTCCTTGGTCACAGGACAATGCCCCATTGCACTTGCTTATCCAGAAGCTTGGTCGGGAAGGAAAACAACCCAAGGACTCTGCTGAAGTTTCTGTTGCCTGCTTTAGTTTAGCAGCATTTCTTCTCTCCCTCTCATTCCCTCCCACCAACTCCAAGGATGTTTGCAAATGTCCTAAAGGAGTGCTTTGGTAGCTAGGCTCAGGCATTTTCACAGCCATAGCTCAAGATAAAGCCCAACCACAAAAATAAGATTGTATGTTATACGATGCCTCCGAAAGCAAAATTGCACACTAAAATGCCCTCCAGGCCACGAAATATAAAGTAATTGCAAGTTTGTATGTTAAATGTGTTGGCATGTTCTTTACTTCCTCAGGGAGATATTCTCCATCCTATTTCTGAAAATCATATTGTATCTTTTAACTTTTTATTGAAGTTTAACACATATTCAGAAAAGTATAAAAACCATTATATTCAACTTGATGACTTTTTATGAAGTAAAAACACGCCATGAAAAAGCAACAGATTAAGAAGGAGGATCTCACAAGCACCCTAGAGGCACCCCTTGGAAGCCCTCCTAGTCATGATCTTTCCCAGGGATAACCACTCTTCTGACTGCACATTGATTTGTTTCAGAAAAGTATATAAGTGAAAGCAGACAGTATATACTATTTTGTGCCTGGTTTTCTCAACATCATGTTATGTATTTGTGATTTCTTCATTCTATTTGCTGAATAGTGTGCCATGTATGAATATATCACAATTTAGTACTTTTCAGGTTTTTTTTTTTTTTTTTGCTATTACAAACAGTGCTTGCTATAAACATTCTAGTACATGTCCTTTGGTGGCTAAATGTATGCATTTCTGTTGGGTGGTAGTGAAGAGTGGGAGGCTGGGTCATCCGGGATGCATGTGTTCAACTTTAGTAGCTACTACAAAACAGTTTTCCAAAGTGGCTGTATAAATTTCTGCTCTAACTGACAGTGTAGAAGACTCCTCAAAACTTCAGGTTCCTGCAAACATTTGGTATTTCCTGTGAGTTTCCTTTGAACCATTCTGGTGCTCCCTGGTCTAGTAGGATTCGGTGTTCTCTCTCTCATTCAGGACCAGAAAGACCAAATTGACATGAGAGTTGCAACTTTCAGCCTAAGCCCCCAACCTCTGGGAAGAGCTGGTGGGGGAGGCTGGAGAGAACTTCCAAGGTGGGTGCTTAGAAGGTGGTGCACCTGAGAGGGCAAGGAAGCTCTGTGCCACACCTGCCCTTGATACCTTTCTCTATGCATTGCCTCCATTTGGCTCTTTCTGAGTTATATCCTTTATAATAAACAGTAAATGTAAGTAACCTATTTTCCTGCTTTTGTGAGCTATTCTAACAAATTATTGAATCTGAGAAAGGGTCCTGGGAACACTTGTTTTGTAGCTGGTGGGTCACAAGTATTGATGGCCCAGGACATATGACTGGCATCTGAAGTGACAGCAGTCTTGCAGTACTGGGCCCCTGAACTCATGGAGTCTGCACTAACTCTGGGTACATAGTGTCAGAACTGGACTGAATTATTGGACCCCCAGATGGTGTCTGGAGAATCAGAGAATAGGTTGTTGGTGTGAGAGAAAATGCCCCAGAACATAAAATTATCATAATTTCTTCCTGTTGTCTTTTAAATATTTGTACAATCTGAGATGATGCCCCTTTGTATATTTCTGTAATTGATAATTTCTGTTCTCTTTTTTTCTTGATTAGTCTTCCTAGACATTTATCCATTTTATTAATATTTTGACAAAACAACTGTCATTTTGTTGATTTTTCTCTAGTGAATACTTGTACTTTATTCTATTAATTTTTACTCCTAATTTTTGGTTCCTTCCTACTCCCTTGCTTTTTATTAGGTTGGAGAGTTAATTTGTTGAATTTTTATCTAAGTTCTTGAGTTGAATTCTCAAATCACTGATTTTCAGCCTTCTATCTTTTCTAATAGATTAATCAAAGGCTATAAATTTTTTTCTCTAAGGTTGGCTTTAACTGGGTTCCACAAATTTTATTGTATCTTATATTTACCATCACAAGTTCAAAGATTTTTAATTTTTAATTACAATTTCTTCTTGATCTATGGATTAATTTAAATTATATTGCTTAATTTCCAAACACATGGGGAGCATCTGATCAGAGAATAATCTTTGTGTAATTTCAGTTCCTTGAAAATTTGTTGAGACTTGCTTCCTAGCCCAGCATATTGGCAATTTAGGTAAATGTTGAATGTGCATGTGGGGAGGATGCATATTCTGCTACTGATGTGCACAGTGTTCTATATATGCTAAATGTGTGAATCACCTTCTCATATCCATTATCTTACTATATCGTCTTATTTTTAGAGTCATAAATATTTTTATATCTTTCTTTTCTTCTCTATCACCTTGTCTATTTTATCCTCCTTTATTATTATTTAATGTTTACTCTTGACTTATTAGTCTAATAAAAAATAATACTTCAGCAATTCTCTGATCATGCTGGAACCTTACAATATATTCACCTGCCTTCTGTCTTTCACATTATTGCTATCATATATTTTTATTAAATTTCGAACTCTACAGCATACTACTATTATTGTTTTGTAAGTCAACTTTAATTTATATTTATCTACATATTTACAGCGTTCTGCCACCCTATATTCCTTATTGTATTTTGTGTTTCTGTTTAGGAATGTTTTCCTTTTGCTTGAGGAATTCCCTATAGTAATTTTGTTAGAAAAGTCTGCTGGCAGTGAATTTTCTCAGTTTTTGTTTGTCTAAAACTTCTCAATTTTACCTTTGTTTCTGAAAGATGTTTTCATGGACTTTGTAATTCTAGTTTGGAACTTTATTTTTGGTGCTATAAGGATATACTTTTATTATCTCTGGATTCCATAATTTGTGTTGATAAATCAGACCTATCTTATTTCTCTCCACTGCTGATACCTGTTTTCTCTGACTAGCTTTAACATTTTCTATCTTTGGTGTTTAGCAATTTTGCTGTGGTGAGACTAAGTAGGAATTCATTTATTTTTTATCTGCTAGGTGTTTATAGAACTTCTTGAACATATATGTTGATAGACCTCATCAGATTTTGAAGAATCTAGAAATATATCTTCAATATTGCTTCTGCCACATTCTTCGTGTTATTTTAACATATTATATATATCTTAGAACTTTTTAATGTATCCTGTATATTTCTTATATTGTTTTATGAATTTTAAATGTTTTTATGCTTTAATTCTCATATGTCCTATCTGCCTGTTCAGTGAAATCATTTAAGTGAGTCCAATCTACTAATGAACTCATCTATTGAATTGTCAATTTTAGTTATTATAATTTATAATTGATTTTTAAAATGTATTCTACTTTTTCCCCCAAATTTTCTTATCCTTGTTTTTTGGACATTAATCATAGCTATTTTAACATGTGTGTCTGATAAATCTAATGTCTGGATCACCTGTTTGTTTCTATATGCTATTCTTTTTCTTAATAATGTTTCTTGGTATGTATTTTGTCTTTTTTAATTTCAATTTTTTAGCATTACTAGTATTTTATTAGTAATACTGTGATTAGATGACCTGAAGACTGAAGGTATTATTGTATTTATTTATTTTTATTTTACTTATAATGGGTACATAGTAGTGGTATATAGGTTTATGGGGTACATGTGATGTTTTGTTACAGGCATACAATCTGGAGGCGGAGATCTTTCTATACTGCCTGCCCTTGCCTTGATGAGTGAAATGAGCCATATGCAATATGGAGCTGCCCCCATTGATAACCATTAAGGATTTCATAATTTTGATTGTCAAGATCAATATTGAGGTAGTTTTCATGGTTTTACAAAAGGCCTTTAAGAAAAATATTGTACAAATTATTTGTGTTTATCAGTGACATCTCACAGATGAATTTAGCTTTCCTTTTCCATTGATGTGCAGGGATAAGCACTGCCTCACATTCTTCAATTTTCATACACATCTTACACTGGGGTCTCTATTTTAAGCATTTTACATATGTTAACTTTTTTAGCTTCATAACAACGGCATAATGTATGCACTAATTTTATTCCTAGTTTACAGATGAGGAAATGGAACCCTGTACTAGGTTTCTGTTGCTGCTTAATGAATTACCACAAACTTATTGGCTTAAAATATCATCTCACATTTACTATCTCACATTTGCATGGTCAGGAGTCTGGGCATGGCCTAATTAGGTCCTATTCATGGGCTGTCTAGAAGAGACAATTAAAAATGTTCCCAATACAAAGAAATGATAAATGTTTGAGATGATGAATATCCTAATTAGCCTGATTTTATTATTATACATTATATGCATGTATCAAAATATCATGTCATAAATATGTATAATTATTATATATCAATGAAAAAAAGACGTGGATTAGGGCTGAAGTCCTGTCTGAGGTTTGTGGTCTTCCTCCAAGCTTGTGTGGTTGCTGGCAGAATTCATTTTCTTACATCTGTGAAACTCACGGCAGCTTGCTTCTTCTTGAAGGGTAGTGGGAGATTCTAACTTAAAGTCAACTGCTGAGAACTTTAATTACATCTGCATAATCCCTCGACTTGTACCATATCATATTGATCAGTTCACAGGTTCTATTGGGTAGGAGTAAGCACTCAAGGGGAAGAGATTATACTGGGTGTGACTCACTGAGGATCACTCTAGGGTGTGTTTTCCATAAAACCCCAAAAGTTAATTAACCTGCCCACAGTTAGTCTGTGGCAGAGGCAGGATTTGAATCCAAGCTGGTTGGTGCTAGAGCCCAAGCACTTTGCTGCTTAATTCCTCAGGGTTATCAGTTCCCAGGCACTGCATCCTGAGAAAGGATTGGTAGGCATTTGTTTGCAGATGTTCAAGAGCATGTATTTTGTGTGTTTGTGTCCTCTATTCACTTGGTTGTTATAAGCCCTCTTTACATATAAACTACTTTGTGTGACAAGTGACATCCTTTTTCTTATGCAATTAGAAGTGCTGGATTTATTTCAATCAATAACATATCCTTCAGAAAACCCCTAAATATGTAATATTGGAACAAAGGGAGGAGTTATACAATTTAAGTAACAATTCCTTCCTAAGTTTGTTGATTATATTTGTAAAATTTAAATCTTTAATCAATGAGTGATGATGTTGGGCAGGCTGCTGGCGATTCTCCAAGGGCATCTAATTTTAGGTGAGGGAAGGATGGGAGGCTGCAGAGCCCATTTAGTCACACATATGTTTAAGCCCCAGAAACTGTTGGTTATGTGGTTCATTTTTACCATCATGATCCTATATTTTGCTTGTTTTAAACATGGATAAAAATCTTTCTGCCCAAGAATGCTGGGAAGTAACAGACTGACCCCTGAAAAGCCTGCAATCAGCCATTTTAAAATACACTTTGTTTAATTAGGTGCAGGAATCTTCAGTCATGCACCTAACAATAGCAGTTGAGAATGGAATTGCATTGCCCCACAAGCGCATGCACACACACACACACACACACACACACACACACACACACACACACACTTCCGCATATCCCTTTCTTGTTGCCATCAGATGAGAAAATATTGCCCTGGATCCTCAGGGAACAGTGGGGCCAGTGCAGAAGCATCAATAGTCCATGATTGGTACAAAACTCCTCCAGATTAACCCCTTGGAAACCACCACAGTGCTTAACTCAGCACCCCAGAAAGATGAAAATCATTGTCACCTAGCTCAAGTCCCCTGAGCATGACATATTTTGGTCCAGTTATTCTTCCTTCCTCTCATCTTGTGTTTCTGAAATATCCTTCTTCCTCATATCCTGGCTAAATTGGACAGTTAGTCCTGTCAGTTCCTGCCCTGTGGATCAGACTCCTCACATTTCTCTGCCTTGTTGATTAACATTCCACTTTTAGATCCCATCTAAAAATAACATCTCACCTCTGTGGCCTTTGCCTCATATTATTCTCTTTTATACTATTTTTCCCATTTAACCATTATATTCTAGTTCTATAATGTGATTGGAGAAACTATTGGCAAGAAAGATGCAGTATAAAAATAGAGGCATAGAGTTATCTTCCTTATCATTTTCCATATTCATGTAGTACTTAGCACTTCATAAATGTTAACTAATGAGACTTCAAAATATCCCTACAAGAGATTCTTAGATACAGTTTGCAAATTAAAAAAGAGAAAAAACCCCACAACAAATTTGACAGGATATGGGTAACTTCTGGAAAATAAATTGGAGTCTCTGATCTGAGCCTACAGCTCCAGGAAACACTAATAAACTGAAAATGGGCCACCCATCACTCTGCCTTGATGACAAGGCTTTGTTCATCCCTCTTCACTATAAAATTGAGCCATTGAGGCATTATGATATTTTCATTTCTTAAGAGATATTAAAATATAGACCTATAGACCCCAACTGATCTCTTGGAAGCACAGATTGAAAAATGATAAAACTATATCCTTTTGGCCATATATGCTGCCTAAAAATACCCATGTCATTTCAACTCCTGGTTCATGCTCGGATAAACCTGACGTGCATTTAGAAAGGGCATAGTCTCTGATGAAATGGTATGTTCTTGCCTTTCTACCATAAACATCACCTTTTTCCTAACACCTGCAATCAGATCACTTTTGTTCCCTTTCCAAGGCTGGTCATCTTGGAGTCAACTTTGCTTCCTCTTTTCCTTTATCTCATATACATCCAGACAGAAAATCTTAATGTTTCTTTTTTGATGTGTCTTTTGTTTTCTAATCCTCTTGTCATCACTTCAGTTCAGATGTTCAGTATCTCATGTCTGGAATTCCACCAGTCTAACAATTGGCTCTGACTCTGTTCTCTCCACTTAAATAATCTGAGTAATGTTGTTGGAGAATATTTCTAAAATGACCAATACAAGAATCACTGTCTGAGGGTACAGTTGCTGTGTTTGCTTTCCCAATATCACTTTCTCCTCATTCTTTTAATAATACCCTGCATTTCAAAGAGAGGACATTGAACACAGCACTGATTTTTCCTTCCATCTTTATTAAAGAGGTGTTCCAGTGATCCAAACCAGCTCAATCATTGTCAAGACACATGATCCATACAGTCCAATCAGAATCTGCCCTGAGATTATTCTAGGGGCATTAGTATAGAGCATTAGTATAGAGCAGCAAATCTCAAATTTTTTTCTTTCAGAAACTCTTTGCACTCTTACTGAGCACTCTTAAAGAGCTTTGTTTTGTGTGGTTTATATATATATATTGAGATTTACCATATTATACTAATAAATTAAAACTGATAAACTTAAATATGTTTATTATTTCATTTAAAACAAAAATAATAAACTCATTATATGTTAACATAAATAACATACTTATGTAACTTTTTTAAAACAAAAATATTTTATGACAAAATGGCATTGTTTTACATTTCTGTAAATCTCTTTAATGTTTGCCTTAATAAAAAAATCTGTTTCTACATATAGTTTGTAAAATATGTCATCATGTTTGAAGTATATGAAGAAAATCTGGCCTCACAGATGCATAGTTAGAAAAGAAAGAATCACTTTAATAGCTTATTTATAGATATTATGGATATTTTTCTTTGAGGTTATACCAAATTGTCACTTAACAAGTGACAATTTCTTAAAGGTTAGTAGCAGTGTGAAATCTGAATCCATATCAATGACCTTTTTGTACTTAACTATGGTAAAATCTGTTAACACTTTGTATGGATCTTTTACCTGTTCATAATTTAATTTGGAAATGCATTGATTATTTAGAAAGTATAAGTTCATTGACATATGCAGATCTTCCAAATGTTGACATATTTTCATTTTATGATGTCTAAAAACCACATTCATTAACATCACCACTGACCTCATCAGAAAACTTTTTACATCAGGATGTGCAATATATAAGTTTTCCAAAATTCAAAATTAGAAAGTTCAAATGTTATCATTTGCATCACACACTATTCAGAAAACATATGCTGAATGCTCAAGCCTGAATAACCATAGTTTATTTATTGGTTGTTTATTCATATTAAAATAGTATTCCATGCAAATGTGGCTAGTTTAGCTCACAACTCAAAAACATTTTCCCAAGTGCTTTTCCACATAACATTGTTGTACTGTGGTGTGCAGCAGAAATGCTTTATGTGCATATGATGGCTGATTTTACATGTCGACCTGGGCCATGGGGCACCTAAATATTTGGTCACATATTATTCTGGATACTTCTGTGGGGGTGTTTCTGGATGATTAACTTTAAATCAATAGACTGAGTAAAACAGATTGCCCTTCCTAATGCAAGTGGGCTTCATCCAATCAGTTGAAGGGCGACCTTCCCCTCAGTAAGAGGGAATTTCTCCTTCCTGACATCAGGTTTTTGAGTTGGAACATCAGTGTTTTTCCTGTCTTCAAACCTAAACTAAAATGTGGGCTTTTCCTGGTTCTCAAGCCTGCTGGATTTGGGGCTTAAACTAAACCATGGGCTTTCCTGGGTCCCTAGCTTGCTGACAGTAGCTCTTAGGACTTCCGCCTCCCATCATAATTGTATAAAACAATTCCTTACACTAAAGTGCACTTGAACGCTCTCTCTGTCTCTCTCTTTTGTCTCAAAAGCTCCTGCACCCTACTGGTTTTATTTCTCTACAGAACCCTAGTACAATGCACTTTCCATTTCATTGCAGAGAATATTAAAAATTCATGTACTTAAAAGTTTAGATGTGATAAAATCAATAAGTTTTACTGTTTTATCAGGGACATTTTTAAGTAAAAGGGTTTTTAAAAATTTTTTACTATACATATGTGGCAGTGAAGAATAAAATGAGAACTAGTATAATTTTG